AATCCTTAATAGCAAAAACAATCCATAACAGAAAGAACAGTGCTGGAAGAATATCAATACCAAACTTCAAATTCTATTCTAAAGCTGTAGTTATTTATAAAAACAGCTTGATACTGGCACATGAACAGGCCTGAGGACCAATGGAATAGAATTGAAGACCCAGAAATGAACCCACAGACCTATGGCAACTTAATCTTGATAAGGGAGCCAAAAACAAAAGACAGAAGAAAGAGATCCTCTTCCAGAACTGGTGCTGACAGAATTGGCCACACACATGTAGAAAACTAAGTGTAGATCCTTACATATAACCCTGCACTAGAATCAGTTCCAAATGGATCAATGATCTCAATGTAAGATTGGATATCCTGAAAATATTACAGGAAGAAATAGGGGAAACACTAGGGCTCCTTGGCACAGGTTGATACTTCCTAAATAAAGATCCAGAAACACATCAAATCAAAGAAAGACTGGATAAACAGGATTACAAAAATAAATACTTTTTAAACACTAGTAAATGTTTTGTGGAAAATAAACTGTGCATTTGAAATTCAGAATAAAGACAAATTGGCAATGTTTTGTGAACAGAAGGTAGGAATTGGTTTCTGAGAATAAGGGAGCAAGTGGAAATGAAGACAATACCACCAGTTCCAAGAAGACCTCTCCTGGGATATGTGCATTTAACATACAAGGTAAAAGATTTGAATACTGAAAACATTGATGAAAGAAGTTATGGATTATATAAATAGAAAAAGCTATCCATCTTCCGTATTGGAAGATTTAACACCATCAAAACATTTACATTACCCAAAGATTCACTGCAATAACTATTAAAATCTCCATGTTATTTTGCATGCACTTGGAAAATAAGTCCTAATATTCCTGTGTAACCAAAAAGATGCCCATATTCAAATCTGTCTTAAAAAACAGTAACAAAGCTGAAGGCATCATACTACCTGATTTCAAGTTCTATGCCAAAACTATATTGAGTGAAATTGCTTGATGATAGCAAAATACAGCAAGGAGATATATGAAATGGATCATCACTCATCCTCCAGAGTAGCAAACTAAAACTAAAATTTACACCTGTTAGAATGATTATTTTACAGTGAAGAAAGTTGACATTTGTTGCTGTGGTATGAAGAAAAATGAACCTATGTGTACAGTTGATAGTGTAACTGGGTATTTAGTCAGTATGGAAAACTGGATATTCCTGATAAACACTAAAAAACAAGAGTCCTTTGATATCCAGTACTTCCATTTCTGGGCATTTATCAAAGAAATGGGAATCAGTGTACTGAAGCCTTATGTGCACTCTCATGATCATTGCAGTATTGCTTGAAATAGCAGAGGTGTGAAAGCAAATCTCAGTGTCCATCACTAGGAAAATCTAGTACCTAACCCCAATGGAATATTCTTCAGTTTTAGGACTTGGATATAACAACTTGTAATTTGCTGAAACATGAATGGGCCTAAAGGACATTATGCTACCTGATCCAAGCCACATACTTGGGAACAAATTACTCATGATCTCATAAATCCAGATGCTGAATTCTTCTCTTTAAATTTTTATTTTACAGATGATATACAGAGGGGTTATAATTACATAAGTCAGGCAATGAGTACACATCTTCTTGAACAGTGAATTGATAATGGAGATGTTAAAGATAAAATATTTCTGTCACATAGGAATAATTAGTTTACTAATCTATTGCACTAATAAGTGACTGTAATAAACAATGCATGAAATATTTCAAAACTGTTTAACATTTTATCCATTTTTGTTTGTAAATGCAATATACTTCTTAGTGACATTGTAAACATTTTACTTCTAAACATATCAAACATCACATCATATGTCACAAATATACACAGCTGTTATTTTTCAACTAAAAGTTAGTAAAGGAATAACCTCAAGAAATCCAAGAAGACAATTCCTAGAAGTAACTTGACTTTCATGACTGAAAACAATACTTAACTCATGATCATACATTAATAAAGAATACACAAAGGCCAGGTGCTCATGGCTCACACCTGTAATTCTAGCTACTCAGCAGGCTGAGATCTGAGTATCCAAGTTCAAAACCAGCCTGAACAGGAAAGTCTTTGAGACTCTTTTTTTCCAACTGACTGCAAAAAGCCAGAAGTGGAGCTATAGCTGTAGCAGTGGAGACCATCTGCTAGGGATAAAATGGTTAGGGACGATACCCAGGCACTTGGTTCAAGCCTCAGAATGGCACAAAAAAGGAACATTTTCAGAGAAAGACGACTAGACTACAGAACTTCACTAGCATTGCTACTACTGGGTGATGTGAGGCTCAGGCTCAGAATATACATACTCTATTTACTGCTATATTGGATTAAGGTGCTGATATAGTGTGGCCATCACTTCATGACTTGACTGTTGTGACATCAGTTCTACACTGATGCTCCATGAGCATCACGTTACAAATTCTAAGCCATTTCAAGACAGGAATTCTAAAAGGCAGACAGCATGAGCTTACTTAAGAGCCAAGAGCTCTGTGCATTTTTCAGTCATCAGGATTAAAGCTCAGCTTTGGAAACTAAGAAAACAAAACAATTTGTATGTATCACATGATGTATCTCACAATACATTCATTATCTGTTACCGTCTAGATAAATACCAGTACTATACCTATATTAGTATAGTTTCCTCTCTGCATTCTTCTCCACACTGTGGTCTAATTTCATCTTTGACACTCAGCAAGTTTGAAAGAATCAAGCATAACACATATCTTTTCATCTGGAAACCAGGCAGAAATCAAAAACTTCCAATACATAGTTGGTATTGGAGGATAATGTCCTGAGTGAAGCTATAGGAGGTTCAGGAGCCTGAGGGAACTGTGCTCCAAGGATCTGGGGGGGATTCCAACTAAGCATCCTTACAAATTTTCTCAGTTGCTTTGCTGTCTACCTACTGTAATCTCTATACCATACACTCCTGTATGAAGAGAGAAAGCATAAAATGCAATGTAAACAGTAGAGTTCTCTAACACAACAAGGTTCCCTCAAGGTGATAAAATCCAACGCCCAGAATTTCTTCTAAAGGAAGGGACACCTGTTAACATAAAAGTGCATGGACATCTTCTCATTTAAATGCCTCCTTTGTTTTCAGCCTAAAATCATCATGCATATTTTTATTTTTTTATTATTGTAAAAATACCATACAGAGGGGTTACACTTACATGCGCAAGATAGTGAGTACATTTCTTATCAAACATTGTTGGCTCCTCCTTTGTCTCCCCATACCATCCCTTCCCTTCTTTGCCTCCCACCCCCACAACCCCTACCACCCCCACACCCACTCCCAACCCCCCCCCCACCGTGCCAAAGATGTAAAGTTCGTTTTTTGACACAATGTCTTGTACATCTCATTGTTGTAATGGGTCCACCTGTAACCCTATTTAAACAGTTTGTTTTTTCCCTTCCCCTCCACAAATTATATCAACATCAAATACAGTGAAAGCATAGCTTATACCCTGAGGGAGGTACATAAAAAGCAACAAGGAAAACATCTTATAAATATGTGAGAAACAATCGCAAGAAAAATAAACATGTGAATCCTTATCTTGGGGTTCATTTCACTTAACATTAACTTGTCTTATAGTTTCTGTTTGTCTCTGACATATACTAGTTATTGCAAATAAAGGAAACGATGGGACCTATATTTCTTTGGGCCTGGCTTACTTCACTTAATATAATTTTTTCCAACAAATAGGGCAATGTCATTCTTTCTGATGGAGGCATAGAATTCCATTGTGTATATATACCACATTTTTTTTATCCATTCATGTACTGAGGGGCATCTGGGTTGGTTTCATATCTTAGCTATGGTAAATAATGCTGCAAGAAACATAGTTGTGCAGGTAGCCTTAGTATGGTCTTGTTTGTGATCATTTGGGTAAATGCCCAAAAGTGGGATTGCTGGGTCATAGGGGAGCTCTATGTGGAGTCGTGAGGAACCTCCATACTGCTTTCCAAAGTGGTTGAACAAGTTTACACTCCCACCAACAATGCAGTAAGATTCCCTTCTGTCCACATCCCCTCCAGCATCTGTTGTTGTTAGAGTTCTTGATTTTTGCTGTTCTAACTGGAGTGAGGTGATATCTCAATGTTGTTTTGATTTGCATTTCTTTTATGGCTAGAGAGGTTGAGCATTTCTTCATGTGTCTATTGGCCATCCTTTCCTCTTCCAAGAAGTTTCTCTTTAAGTCTTTAGCCCATTTGTTTATTAGGCAGTTGTTTCTTTGAGGATTTGTTCTTGGGGAATTTAAGTTTTTGAGTTCCAGGTATATTTTAGATATGAGACCCTTGTCCATTGTATGGATAGTGAAGATCTTCTCCCAATCTATGAGCTTTCTATTGATCTTCCTAGCTATATCCTTTGCCATGCAGAAGCTCTGAAATTTCATGCAATCCCATTTGTCCAACCTTTCTTTGATTTGTTGTGTTTCCGGGTCTCTATTAAGAAAATTGTGACCTGTTCCAAGGAGACCTAGGGTTTTTCCTATTCCATCCTGTAATGTTTTCAGAGTGTCTGCTTTGACTGTGAGGTCTTTGATCCATTTGGAGTTGATTCTGGTGCATGGTGATATATAAGGATCTAGCTTTAGGTTTCTACAATCATCACACATATTTTTAAATTTTTTGGTAATGTTACTCAGGCTTTTCTGAGGTGAACTAAGGAGAACTAAGGAAAGCAAAGAATACATGTCTATTTGCTATCACAAATTTACAAACTAACGTCTTAAAAAATAACTATAACACATCTACACACCAAATTCTAAACACACATTAAAAAGGGATGGCTCACAGGTATCAGTTCAAATTTCAGCAAGTATTTCAACAGCAAGTAAGACAGCCTTCAAATAATTGTTAAGTGATTTTTAGAAAATCTTTAATTAGGAACTGAGATGATCTAGTGAGCATTCTGCTTACAGCAGAGTTAATCTCCCTGTTCCGGAGGCTCTAGATGATGGGGTTCATGAAGGGGGCACTATGGTATAGAACATGTCTGTCAGCAGATTTTTAAGGGATGCTTTCTCCTCAATGGGACCTAAGACAGCTACAGAGCCAGAAATTGCAAACAAAAGGAGGATGAACAATTGTGGGGAACATGTGGATAAGGCTTTATTCCGGGCTTCCACTGAATGCATCTTCAACACAGATGTAAATATATTAACATATGATATAATCATAATGAAAAAACATCCTAAGACAAGGCACAAACTAACAGCAATGATTATAAATTCAGAAAATTGAACCTCTGAAGATGTTATTCTCAAAACTTGAGGTATATCACAGAAAAATTGCTGGATCACATTGGTCTTCGTAAATGGAAGTCTGAATATGGCACAGGTGTGGACAGCAGAATAGACCAGACCAGAGGCCCAGGAGCCACCTGCTGCTTGGGCACACATCTTCCGCGTGACAATGAGTCCGTAGTGCAGAGGGTGGCAGATGGCAATATAGCGATCAAAGGCCATGACCACAAGGAAGGCAAACTCCGCAGTGGCAAAAAGTAGGTAGAAAAAAATCTGAGCAGCACATTCTCTCAGGGTGATGGTCATGCTGCCTGTCATGGAATTCACAATGGATTTGGGAACAGTAACTGAGATGCTACAGAGGTCTACGAGGGATAAATTGCTCATAAAAAAGTACATTGGAGAATGAAGATGAGTGTCTGTCACAATTACAGTAATGGTTATTAGATTCCCAGTTAATGTTGCTAGATAAATTGCTAAAAACACCAGACTTTGTAAAACTCATAGCTTCTGGGAGCTGGAGATATCCATGAGGAGGAACTCTGTGAAGAAGGTGATATTGTTCATGTCTGACTAGGTGGTGTGGTAACCCTGTGTTAAAATGATGACAAGAAGAATGCAGACAATTCTTAACACTACAAACAAAATGCAGACATTGTATCAGTGTATGCTTCTCATTAGTATCTCAGGATAGAATAAGTGGATAAACTGTATTCCAGTAAATGTATATAGACTCATAGTAGGATTAATTCGCCATTTCCTTCTATTTACAACAATTATGTCAGGCACTCTAAGTAAGATAGATTCTCTATTGTCATCTTTCTGGGTCTAAAAATTAGAAAGATGCTACTCATTAGGTAAGATCTAGGAATCAAGAGTGAATTTGAGTGTCCCTTCCTGTGTCTGATTGTTTTAGAAAGTGTTTCCATGACAACTTTAATAAATCAAACTGCAATTCTTGTGACACATAACTATATAGTCTCAGTATTGTTTCATTTGCATTAAATATGTAACTGGTAATAATATTATTAAAGTCTTAATATTATGTAAAAATATCATTTGCATTCCATTAGTATTTTGTATAGTATTTATTTGAAATTTAAAAATTTTCTCTCTTGGAATAGTAAAATGGTTTGATTACCCTGACATATTTATATTACCTTCCAGTATGTTTTGCAAAATATTTTACATTGATTTATTTTCTTTGAATCCTTTGAATCATATGTGATTTATTAGCCTAATTTTTATACATGACTTGAACTTACTGTGCAGAGAGAATATTTTAATTGTCAAAAGCAATGCTACTTGATCAAATTGTTACATTAAAATAAACTACAATTTTGATTTTCTTAATGAAAATTCCACATTAGCTCTGGATCTTTTTTAAAAGTTTCTTATTGTAAAAATACTGTATTACAGTTACATGAGTAAGGTAATGAGTACAATTCTTATAGAGCATCGTTACCTCCTCCTTTGTTTTCCCCTATCATCCCTTCCCTCCCACCTCCACATCTCCTCCCCTTCTCCCCTACCCTGCCGAAGTTGTAAAGTGTATTTTCAACATAGTGTTTTGCATATCTCATTGTTACAATGGGTCAACTTGTATCCTTATTTCATCATTTTATTATTTCCCTTCTCCTCCCCAAATTACAAAAATATATATACAAGATGCAGGGCACCGGAATTAAATTCAGTGAAAACGGGTTATACCGTGGGGGAAGAACATATAAAAGAAACAAAAAAAATCGCATACTACATTATACATACATTAAAAACAATAGCAAGGAAAAAAAAACAGTTGTGTCCCTATCCTGGGGTGCATATGGAGGTTCCTCATAAGACTCCACATAGAGCTCCCTTATGGCCCAGCAATCCCACTTTTGGGCATTTACTCAAATGATCACAATCAAGGCTGTACCAAAGCTACCAGCACAGCTATGTTTATTGCAGCATTATTTGCCATAGCTGAGATATGGAAGCAACCCAGATGCCCCTCAGTAGATGAATGGATCAAGAAAATGTGGTATATATACACAATGGAATTCTGTGCCTCCATCAGAAAGAATGACATTTCCCCATTTGTTAGGAAATGGAAAGACTTGGTAAAAATTATATTAAGTGAAGTCAGCCAGCCCAAAGAAACATAGGCCCCATGGTTTTCCTTATTTGCAATAACTAGTGTAAGTCTAGGACAAGCAGAAAAGGTCAAAAGCTATGTACATATGACCATTTAAATTTAAAGAAATCTTAATGTCCCCATACTAAATTCACATGACAATTGTATTCTCAGACTGACAACCTAATGAATATTCTTGTTCAGAAGAAAAAGTTCAAGGTTCACTCATGATCCTCCTTTATTTTCTCAGTGACATTATCAAGTTATTTGGTTCTCAGTTTAAAAATACACCAGAATGAGTGTGACGTCCAATTCCTTATCATTAAAATAAGATAGCAATACATGGAGATGGCAATGCTTCATAAATCCATCAATTATCAGTAATTGTCCATAATAATGGACATATTAGAAATTTTAATTTGCTGTTTCTTTTTGTCCACTTGGTATTAAAGGGACTTTTTTATTTTGATCAACATACATGGTAAAATAAAGTTGAGTTTTGACACTCACAATACAGAGGGTAAAGGGGGCACACAGTAAAGGTGGGACAAAGGGTAAACAAACTCAGTTTGTTTTGATGAAATGTCACTGCAATTTTCTTTTGCTTCTGGGTTTCTTAGTTAGCCTTTCAGATCCAGCTCAAGAAATACTTCATTGGACCTGTTGCTCAGTTTCAAGGGAATATTTCAATCTTGATAGCTTCAAACTTCTAATTTGGCTTATATATAAACAGATATCCAGAGTTTTAAGAACAATTACCATTGTACTTATAAACTGAATTGTTAAACGGTAAATCTTTTGTACAACTACTTAAAGATAATAAAAGTGTAATTTTTAAAAAGAACAATGACCCAAAATAAAAACTCAAATCTGAAACTATCAGTTTGTCCTATAAATATGCCATAAATCATTAAGCATACTTGAAAACTTGAAGTATATTTTAGGTACTTATATGAATTATTTATTACTTTAGTGAGAGAAATATATAAGTTAATAAATTCAAAGATACCTGAGAAGTGAGGATATGAGTGTAACTTCACTAACATGAATATTACTTTGTAGAATTTAAAGAAACTTGATTAATCCTTGATACTGCTTCTTTCTTCAGGAAATAAAATACAAAAAGTTATTTCTTAGTCCATTCCACGTATTGTATGAGTATTTCTGGTTCTGAATTATTTATAAATATGGAGGTTTTTAATAGGAACTTATGTGGTCAAACTTCTGATGCTCTCTAGAGACATGACCTCTAGATTTCAACCTCCAAAGAGGCCAGTTTTATATAACTGTTAACTGGTAAACAAGCAATGGCCATACCATCGAGATTAATTAAATTTCTGAGTTTGTGGGAGATAATTTATGTGATGAAATAAAAATTATTCAAAAATGCTTTGTGCATCACAAACTTTCCACTTAATGTCTAACTCTAAAATTAATTTATTAATATTATAGTTTTAAAATTTACATTTAAGGGCTGGGATGTAGCTCAGTAGCACACTTGTCTACCAAGTGAAATGTCCTAGGTTCAATCAAAACAAAAAGTAAAATACAGTTTTAAAAACCCAAACAAATAAAATTTGCAGTGATAAAAAGCATTTTATGGAAGTGGCACTGTAGCTCAAGTGGTAGAGCTTAGCCTTGAGCTAAAGAACTGATGGACAGAGCCCAGGCCCAGAATTCAAGCCCCACGACCAAAAAAAAAAAAAAAAGCATTTTATAATTAAACTGAAATACTTGGAAAAGTTGCCTAACTCTAAACCAATATATGCCAGGCAGCAAATACATGATGTCATACAGTACATGTAGACCCAAAGATCAGTGGAACAAGCTGGAAGACACAGAAATAAAACCATATGCTTACAGTTATCCAATATTTGATAAGGAAGCCAAAGATATATGGTTAAAAAAAAAAAGATAGCCTCTTCAATAATTAGTGTTGGGAAAACTGGGCATCCATATGCAGAAAAATGAAAGTGATTCCCTGATTGTCATCATGCACTAATATCAACTCAAGTTGGATTAAAGACCTTAATGTCACACCTAGAACTTTGAAATTACTGCAAAGGGGGGGAAGGTAAGAAAAACACCAGAACTTCTGGCAATCTTCAGAAACTTTTGAAGAGTCCCCAGGGCCACAGCAGATAGGATAGGGACTGGAAAAATGAGATTACATCAACAGAAAATGTTTCTTCACAGCAAAGGAAATAGTTATTAAACTAGAAAGACAGCCAAAAGACTGGGAAGAGATCTTTACCCAAAACACACGAAAGGCTTCGTATCCAAAACATACAAGGAGCTCAAGAAACTAACTCCTCTCAAAGCCAATGAACCAATCACTGAATGGACAAGGGTGCTAAGGAGAGACTTCTCAGAAGAGGTAAGAATAGCCCAGAAACACACGAGGAAATGCTCATCATCCCTGGCCATAAAGCAATGCAAATCAAAACAACCCTGACATTCTATTTCACCCGAATTAGATTGACCAACATCATGAACTTGAACAACAGCAAATGCTGGCAGTGATGTTGGGGAAAAAGGAGCCCTACTTCATTGTTGGTGGGATGTAAACTAGTACAACCACTCTGGACAGCAGTCTGGAGGTTCCTCAAAAAACTAAACATCGATCTTCCCTCAGCCATACCACTCTTGGGCATCTGGCCAAAACATCATATGCTAGGATACTGTGGACACACTTGCACATCCATGTTCATTGCTGCAGTATTCAAAATAGCCAACTTGTGGAAACAGTCCAGATGCCCTACAATACATGAGTGGATCCAAAAACCATGGTACCTAAATACAATGGAATTTTATACAACCAATAGAATAATACTGTGCCATTTCCAAGGAAATGGATGGGCCCAGAACAAATCCTGTTTATGAGATAGGCTAAGCTCAAGGAGACAAATGGAACATGCTTTCTCTCATATGCAGGAGCTAGATCTAAAATACACTGGGACATGATAAATAATAAGGACTCGAGGCCTTCACATGCAGTGAGACCAGAGGAGATTACTCTTAGGGGAGTTAACACAAAAGTACAATGTCTATATGTATTTGATTATATAAAATATTTATCAAAATGAACTCCAGGAAATGAAAAAATAGGTTTTCCTTTGTTGTTGTTTTCTGTTTGTTCATTTATCTTTCTTTGGGAGGCTAAGGCGGGCACAGATATGGAGGGACAAAG